AATTTGTCACAGACAAACTGCCAGGAAGACGACGTTTCAACCTACGTTCAACATTTAATTCCCTCTACTCAGATTTTGAAACTAGTTTGAGGATGTTTTGACTATGGTAATACCACCGTGGATAATTAACCATATGGTGACATAGAAGAAACGAATGTCATAATACAAGAGACTGAACTAAGTACAAATGAAGAACTTAAGGTTCAGTTTAAAAACGGATATCAGCAATATCAGAAATTTTTAATTTCCTTTCCATCGTCATACTTAGTGAAACAGACTGGACATCATTAGCCGAGGAATTTAAGATTAAACCTTACAAAATTGACGCCAAATGTTGATAATTTATTATTAAAGCATCAGGTTCATCCTTCTCACTAAAAACATTTACTTATTGCTTAGTTTATTTTATGTTACGTATATTTTATATAACAGATACAAAATTTTATTTTTACTACTTTTAATTTATGTATAAAACTTAACATGCGTTTTTACTTTAAATTTTTAACTTAACTTCACTACAGTTAGAAATTTACAAAATATCAATATCAGGTAACCGAAAAATATGGCGACACAAAAAAGTTTGGGAAACTCTGATTTAAACCTTGCTCTTCAATTATTAACATGTTTTAAAAAAAAATAATTTCCTACGTTATGTTTTTTGATTGTTTGTAATTATTTATATACTTACGATTGGAAAGTGTAAAAATAAAATGTTTAGATCAATTGAAATGTTGCAATTGAAATATACCTGATGGTTTATCGATGACGGATTGCGTTCCGAATTTTCTGGTGATCTCTAGGGCGAACATGCCGAAGGACAGGAGCATGCCGTGCCCTAGGATGTGGACGAGGACGCAGGCGACAAGTACTACCCAACCCCATCCTCCTTCGGGGTAGTAATGCTGCTTGAGGGTCAGCAGTTGCCGTAAATCAGCGACGAGACGGGCCGCCCTGCTTGCAGGCGCATCATCCGCCCCGGAACCCTACAAAACCAATCCATCCATCCTCCGATTCGAACACATTTACGACCGATCCACGCATCCCCCGCACTTATAACCACCATCATCTCTACCATCACAATCATAATCTTGGCCTTAGAACAGCAAATTCAATTTACAAAACTTTATTCCCTTTCTTATAAATATTAATTAATTTCATTCAATTAACTATAATTTAATTGTTGTCAAATGTATTTTATAACTAAAGACATTCCAAATAAATAAATTGATGATGGTTGTAAGTGTTGGATCTAGTATTAAAGACGAACCCCATAGAAACTTCCTAAACCGGAGTCGTGGTGTGAGAGCTGAGGCAAAGATCTGGACCTGGACAGGCCTTGTCTGCGCGTTCTTTCGTCGCTCGAAAGCTCCTCATCGGTCGTCGCCATTTGGACAAAACTATCCTCTCCTCATTATCTCGCACTCTCTTTAGATCCACAATACCAAAACTTGATCCTCCTTACATCTCTTTTCACGACTCGAAACTCTCCAAAAAAAAAAAAGAACCTAAAGACGTGCACAACAATCCAGATATTTGTACCATCCACCCCCTTGTCGAACCAGTATGCTAATTACAGCGTGTTACGTGCCTGATTACTCCCGAGATCATTACAGACGAACGCTCGTTATTACCGTTCCGGATACAAATGCTGCCGATGTTAAGGATAAGACCCGGCAGACTCCTGCTGCACTTCTCTCCTCTTTTCGCAGCCTCTCCTGCCGGGATCACCAACTCTTTAATTACTTATCCTCGTATTGCGCCAATTCCATTAACGAAATTTAACCGGCTCACATACAAATCTAATCCGGGCCGAAACTCTCGTACACTTCATTTTTATTGTATGCATTTTACAAAACTGCTGCAATGATTACTACATCACATTTTGTTGTAGTTACATTTATGTTACACTCTATTATAGTTAAATCCTCTTGATGTGGATATAAAAATGTACAAAATTTTGTTAAACTATTGTTTTTGATGAAATAAAACGGCCGGAATGAATCCACTGGAGCAAACTGAAAGGACCGAATACTCTTTTTTTTTCTCTCGTCTTCCGTTCCATTTCCGGCCGACTTTCCATTACGTTGTTTATAACGCATAAAAAAAGCTTTGCATAATTCGACGATATTTTCACCCTCCTCCTGTGTACATGTGTGTGTTTGAGAGCGTTTCTATTTGTGTGTATAAATACATATATCCATTATATATGTATATGTGATTTTCTCCCCCTTTTTCTGTTCCGACTCATTTTCCTCCTTCAACCCGCTAGCATGTTGTCGCGGAAATCCGCTACGAGTCGAGCGCTGCAAGTGTTTTATGGTCTTCTACATTCGTTCCGAAAATTCCATATTATACATTTTTTGGCCATACTAACATATTATGGATGCCCTCATCCTATTTCCTTCATCCCCCCCCCCNNGACGGCGACGATCCCCACATATACACAAACTTGCCTTTATCACCCTTTCATGAACTTCGTGACTCCGAACACCAGCTTGTATCCATGGCGTAATCAGAAAATTCAACAATCAGTTGTTTACTTCTTCTTTTCTTCAATATTTTTTCTTTGGTTTCCTGCAAAAGCTAACTTCATTCGGGCCATTGATTTCCAATTGGACGTCATTGAGTTTTAAAGTAAGTTAGGTCATTGCGTTTTACAACCGTTACTGGATATATCAATAATAACCTAAAGTTAGAGCAACATCTTTGAATGAAACTTGCATCCCCATGATTTCACAAAACTTTCAAATTTATTCCTATAATTGTAAACATCAGTAAATTGTATACAATTACAATTTACCTACGGCATCCAGCTCTGGGGATCTGCCTGTAACACCAGTATCGATATAATACAGAGATTCCAGTCGAAAACGCTGAGGAAAATCACCAATGCTCCATGGTTCATCACAAACGAGGACATCCATAAGCAAGCTAACATCAGTTTCGTCAAGGAAGAAATAGGAAAGGCTAGAGAATCACCCAAACCAACTGGCTATGGAGCTGATGCATACTGCAGAGCATCGTTGAAGATTGAAGAGATTCAAACCACAAGATCTACCAAACCGATTTTAAATATTGACTATTAATGTGTGCAAGTGCATAAAAAATTAACATATATGTGAAGTGGGGTTGCTGGATCTTCACTTCATTAATTATTATTACAGTGTCCTTTTTAACTTACTTTAAGACATTCATAAGGCTAGTTATCGATGTAAGATGATAGATTGCTTTAAAAATAATAAAAAATAAATACAATTGAACTATCAATTCTTTCTAAACTGTATACAAGTTCTGTTTAGACTGGAATTGATGTAGTGTATAGATCCAGAAACAGCAACAAGCGATGCAGCAAGTAAAACCAACTTCCAGACTCTGTGTTTCAATTCCGAATAGTGGTCTCCAAGGGAACAGTTTAAGCCGTAATTTGTTTCGTCGTCGCGAAGGAATGAAGGAAACTTCGTTAAACTCGGTTTTCGGATGAAGTTTTCATACTTCTAATTGCGAAAAATTGATTCGAACCAGTTTTCGTCAGACAATGATAATAATAAACAATCATATCTGTTGCAGGAATCCTTTCAACGTAACGAAGCATGACACTGCGCAAAGTAATTTATTTAAAGAGAACTGCGCGTCTCCCGCAAATGGAAAGCGATTGAAATTGATCGCATGTTTTTGTTACTTAATCAGATTAAGATTTTTCATTGGAAAAATTGCTCGGGATTAATTAACTGTGTCTCCCATTCCCATTCCCAGTCCGGTCTGGTCTGGTCTGACTTTGACACGGACGAGACGAGGCCGGAGACTCGGAAAAAACGAGATGAGAGAAATGAAGAGAAGGAAAGAGAGAGAGATCAGGGCAGGCCGACGGGAAAGAAGCGGGAAAAAATCGAACAATTCAGATACCTTTAAACGTTTCCATGGAAACGGAATTGTTTAGCCGTGTTTGGGAGCGACGGGTTCGGTTTTTCTCCACGTGCAATCCGAGCCGCGTGTCTTATTAGGTGTACATTAAGTTCCATCGCGAACTCCACACTTCATTCTTTCATCCTATCCTATCCACACTCTCTTATTCTCTCCTCTTCCATCAGCTCCATCATCCATTCTTTCATCCATTCAATAATACTCCGTTAAAATACTACGTCCTTCACCCTCCCTACACCTCTCCTCAGGAATGTCATCCAACACCTACTTGAAACTTTTTACATAATACACAATTTTATTTTGAACCTATCAAATAATAGTAAATTTTGAACGTTGATAGATTATCAATTTTTTGTAAAGAGTATTGTAATACCGCGTTTCTTCCACGCCATTACTTGCTCACAGTATCATCGCCGATGGAAAGAAACCTCCTTCGTATCAGAACTCTTTATAAATCATTCTTTTCTCCTTTAACCCGAAGTAATTAGAATTATCTGGAAGCGAGAGTTCTTAGTTCTCAACGCTAATGATTCGCATCTCGGATTCTTTGTTTCACATCTGATGGATGATGATGATGGAAGGGTGGGCCTCCTCTATCCATACATACATTCATCCAACGAACGAACGGACAAATCGCGTTATAAGACGTTCCGTTTCGTATCCATTCATCTCGACACAATCTCGTGGCCGAATCAGCTCCACCACCACCCGTTTCTTCTCCTGTTAATATATATCCTTTCATACTTCTTCTGCTCCTTTCTTGAAACCAGTCGTGATTTATGAGATGAGATAATGCAAGGCCAGAATGACAACCGGAGAAGTACACACACAAAAAATAATACTGTACATGCGAAGAGTTGAGCATGTACGAAAAATAAATGAAACGAAATATTCAGAAACCCACGGTGACCTTCTTCTTATGCTCGAAAAGCTTATCCTTATTGCATAACGATTAACCCGAAGCTTGGCATAACTGGATAACTCTTAATCCCAATTAATTTGCATCCGTTTTGGCCGCAGGCCAAATGAGTTTTGCAATAAATTATTTAGAGAAAAAAAATAAAACGGCAAAAATCAAGTCTTTCTTTCGTTGTGGAAAGATAAATCGCGCGGCTTTCAATGATAAATAGTTGCATATAACTCGCCTCATAAATGGAATGCAATCAATGGTACGCGATTATTTATTTCGTATCTCCGTCCCTTTCTTGTGCACGAACTGAATCGATCTTTTATCCTGCCTTCAGCTGGCAGAATGAATGCGTGTTAAATTGAATGTTGATTGCCGCAATTGGCGAAAAGAGATGGAAAAATTGAGCAGGACGAAATAACAACAAAAAAAAGGACGAGGCTCTAATAAATGCAACGCGATTAATCATTTTCGTTTCGTGTCTTATCTTGTGGGTCGTTGCGGGATTAAACTCGATTTATTATGTTATTAAACGCGATTTGCAATTGAATTTCATTAAGATTTTGCAAAAGTAAGGCGTTCGCTCGATCAATTTCACGAAGGGGGAAAAAAGCGTTATCAAAAAGTAAAAAAATTAATACAATTTCAACATTAAGCTTATCGAGAAGCCCACGTCCTGCGGTAAATGTTACAGTTGCATTTTCCTGTCCACATTAAATCATTTATAATTAAGCATTTCAATTGCGACAACTTCGGATTTGCAATTATCGAGTTTATACAGCGAAATCGTTAAGAATGTTGTAACTTGTAGACTTGCCAAAACTAATTTGTCAATCATTATGTAATGAAACAATTATTGGATTTTCATTAATAAATTAAATACAATTTAATTTATAATTCCAATATGTTATTACATTAAAATATTCAAGTTTTTTTTGTAAATAATTTTGATATTTCTCGCCAGAAAAAGATCTATAAATACGAGTCACAAATTCCTCATCTTCAAAAAAAGAAAGCACAAACACATCAATTCAAATGACTGAAAACAAAAATTAGAATCTAATCAATCAAACGCAAACGAAACACAATTCGTTAAGTGGAAAGATCAAAAGCGCGAAAGATGAATTGAAAGAAAAAACTGCAATAATTTTCCAAAGGAATTCCTGCAGCCGCAAATAGATAAATTGTCCTCTCCTTATTTACTTATATAAGTTGTTTATTTTTTCCGCTCGATTAATTTGTACGTGTCCAGCAATAATTCGTAGGCTGAAGGATCGTTCGTCATGCGATCCTTTCAACTCGCCACGAAGCGTTTATTTTAACATCTGCAATTTTTTTTGGATACAGTCGAGAGTTAAAAGTAAATCTCGTCGCAGGATTAAGAAATTTCATCTTCCTGCATTTCGCGTGCCAATAATTCAATTAAAGCCTTTGTTTCGTAACACTTTTCCGTGTTTTTCCCTTAATTCCTTCCGGTCTTTGCTAGAATCGTGTTTTTTTTTTCGGAAATGCGAGTTTCTTTTAGCGAAGTCAGCATTATATTTCTTCTCCACGAGATTATTACATCATAGCAGCAAACCCGGAGGAGTTTCTATGCGCGTCCCTTCGGCGGCGACGGCTAATCCTGCAGCGCCAATTGAATCCAGTCTAAGTAACAATTCATTTGTGCGCGTTATGCAACAATTAGTTACGTAACAGGAGGCATCGATAAATCCGTCTAGACGCACGTAATCGCAAGGTTCTTGAAAGGGGTGGTTTACATATGGTTTTCGAATGACTTACGACTCTCCTGCTTTGAATCAAGAGCAAGTGTTGATCTGCATCCTCGTCTTTATTTTACTGTCGAACGCAGCAGGAATAATCCTAATAAAAGGATGTGCGAATTTCTCGTCTTTGTGTAAGTATGAATAATACGAACTCGAAACTAATTAATGAGTAATGGAATTATTCTATTTTTGTTGTTGGTCCATTTCTTCGGATGAGGCTATTAATCGTAGAGTTCGCTGCTTCTATTCACTTCTACATGGAAAGAGATAGATCAGAACAAAAAAGAGAATAAGACGAAGAGAAGTTGGTGTAATTTGAATAATTCAACACGAAATTCGTAAATATAAACTCAGGACTTCTACATTACAGCGATTTGATTGAGTTATTAATGATTCAAATTTGAAATTTATTTCAAGCAAAGTCCATAAATTTTTGAACAAATCAAAGTCATTAATATTTAAGTTAGTTTTCAAATCAAAGAAAAAATAATAATATTATTTTATTGCTAAAGAAAAACGTTTAGTTTTATATATTTCATTATAGAATTGATACATAATTTTTGAATAATTTCACCTGCTCTAATTTTGTTATTCACATAAAATCATGTTCGTAAATTCAAGAACTCTAGTTTATGTAAATTTTACAAAAAAAATATATTTACATGTAAAATCAATGTATTTCTTATATAAATTTAACAATTTTGATATGGAAAACTATAAAAATTAAAATAACATAAATTTAAGATGTTTCTTTCTTTTATTTTACAACTTTATAAAAAAATTTATGATATAAATACTTTGATTTGAAAAGTATAATATTGCAATTATGCAATTATATAAATTCTATGTGAATATATTAATTTAATTGATACAAAAATTTCGGAATTAATTTATAAATTTTCGAACAAATCAAACTTGTTAATATTTAAGTTAGTTTTTTAATTCAAATAATAAATAATAATATTGTTTTATTGCTAGAGAAAAACGTTTAGTTTTATGTATTTCATTATAGAATTAATACATAATTTTTGAATAATTTCATCTGCTCTAATTTTGTTATTCACATAAAATCATGTTCGTAAATTCAAGAACTCTAGTTTATGTAAATTTTACAAAAAAAAATATATTTACATATAAAATCAATGTATTTCTTATATAAATTTAACAATTTTGATATGGAAAACTGTAAAAAACATAATAACATAAATTTAAGATATTTCTTTCTTTTCTTTACAACTTTTTAAGAATATTTATGATATAAATACTTTGATTTGAAAAGTGTTTATTAATATTACAATTATGCAATTACATAAACTCTATGTGAATATATTAATTTAATTGATACATAAATTTCAGAATTAATTTATATGATGAATTAGTGTGAATAATTTTAATAAAAAAAATACTTTATGATGTTATTAAAGACATAATTTTAATGTTTTGTTTCTTAATAATTTATTTAATTAATTTTATTAACTTCAAAAATAATTAAAAAAGCACTTTCACTTCAAATTATGGAGAAGTTAATAATAAATGAGACTTTTTTTTTGAAATTTTCCAAATTATATTAAATTAATTTTCAAAAAATGTCTTGCTTTATAATAATCAACTGACTAAAGCAATTTATCACAAATTGTACTTAGAAAACAAAAAAGAGCGAAAAGTTGTTTAACTTCTTTAGTAGCAGCAAATGAGTTGAAGCAGAAATTTTAAGAAAAAAAAAACCTGCAATCGAATTAAGCCGAAATTTTCAAATTACACTAAAAGCTTTCTTCGGTCCTTTCCCATCCCATTCCATCATCGGACTTCAACCCAACCCATCAACCGGACGCTAATAACTCACTCAGTCGCTTAATATGCCTTCGCTCTATCCTGTTTGAAGCAATTACAATAGATTTATCTAATCTACCTTTTGGATGGAATCAATGATTTATACCGATTAGGGGTTTTGTTAGGTGGTGGATGGATTGGAATATACAAAAAAAGAGTAGTGTTTCACTGATTTTTTTTTTGATATCTTCTTCCCGCTTTCGAGTTCACTTCCGGACTATATAAACCACGTGGTACAAGTGCGTAAATCAGAGCACATTCGTGCTGCGTGTGTTTCGCGAAGAGATCGATGGCCCCGATGGTTGTCGTGGTTGTTTGGTGGTGCTGAGAGGAGCAGATATTGGTGGAAGACCCGCGCGGAAGTCGTTCCAAGACTGGCTTCGCTCTCCACTCTATCTATCTGCACTGGTTTGCTTCGGCTCGGTTTGTCTGCGATCGGCGAGGCCTAAAACCCATCCATGCTCTCTGCCCATGCCCTCTTCTGATCCGAGCGACGACGCGCAACCTATTCTTTCTTACTACCATTTACTTCTTCTCCTCCACCTCCATCGACAAACCTCTTCGGATGTAAACAGAATCCGGAATGCTGCGACCGTCAAATTCGACCAATCGTAAACTTCGATTATCCAACGCAGTCGTCATAATCTATCAGTTACACCTATCTAAACTATCTCATAACGCGTTCCATTGTTTCAAAGACCTTGCATCATACAAAATACTGCTGCTTCAACCTGTCTTCCAACACAAATTGTAAACCAAATAATACATATTAGTCAAAATTCAATCTAAAGTTTCCATTAATAATCTATTAAGCAACCAAGTCTTAATTAATGGCACTCGACAATACCATAAAAATCAATTTAAACGATATCCGGTTGAATTAGAAATTTACATATTAAATTGGATGCAGTGTAATGAAGAACGTAATGCTTAACTTTCTATTGCAGAATATTGTCTAATATTTTCAGTTTTCTCTTTTATAGATTGGATAATTTATTATACATTCTTAGCTTATGATTTAATAACAGTATTTTTAATGTCAGTTTATATCAAAGAGCATTAATGAAAAATAAATCATGTATTAGAAATAATTACATTGCACATCTGCAAATTTAATAATAAATCATTGGTAGTAATAGAAAGAGTAATGAATATTTAGATAATTATTATAATGCAATTATTGATAATCAATCAATTTCATTATATCAAACTTTTTCATTGCAAAATTGTGTAAAGTAAGAAACTAATAATTTGTTATGTAAATAGGTTAAACAGAGCGAAATATATTTAAATAATTAAATGTGCATTTAAATTTATAAATAAATTGTTTACAAGAAAATTAAGAACAAGTTAGCTTTGTTTGTAAACAAATTTAAAGTAATCTTAGATAAGTTGTTGTTATTGGCAACCAATGTAAACGAATATATGGTAAGAACATTTGTTTAACATTATCATTTTAGGATAAATAAGTTGTAATTTGTAGTAATGAATAATGTAGAGATGATGATGATGAAGCAAAAAGTGAGTATTGTTCCAATTTTGTAGGAAGCACTCATCGGCTTCAAATAAACCCAAACTTTTTCATTGCAAAATTGTGTAAATTGGTTATACAAAGCGAAATATATTTAAATAATTAAATATGCATTTAAATTCATAAATAAATTTTTTACAAGAAAATTAAGAATAAGTTAGCTTTGTTTGTAAACAAATTTAAAGTAATCTTAGATAAGTTGTTGTTATTGGCAACCAATGTAAACGAATATATGGTAAGAACATTTGTTATACATTGTCATTTTAGGATAAATAAGTTGTAATTTGTAGTAATGAAGAGATGATGATGAAGCAAAAAGTGAGTATTGTTCCAATTTTGTAGGAAGCACTCATCGGCTTCAAATAAACCCAAACTTTTTCATTTCAAAATTGTGTAAAGTAATAAATTAATAATTTATTATGTAACTAGGTTATACAAAGCGAAATATATTTAATTAATTAAATGTGCATTTAAATTCATAAATAAATTGTTTACAAGAAAATTAAGAATAAGTTAGCTTTGTTTGTAAACAAATTTAAAGTAATCTTAGATAAGTTGTTGTTATTGGCAACCAATGTAAACGAATATATGGTAAGAACATTTGTTTAACATTATCATTTTAGGATAAATAAGTTGTAATTTGTAGTAATGAATAATGTAGAGATGATGATGAAGCAAAAAGTGAGTATTGTTCCAATTTTGTAGGAAGCACTCATCGGCTTCAAATAAACCCAATAAAACAATGATTCCGGGTTGTTAATATGAAAATTGGACTGCGGTTTTGCGGAGTTGCAATATCAAAGTTGGAGTGGCTTAGCGGCACTAAAGGCACATAAATAGGTACGTCGTTGGGATTAGTGCATGTGTGTTCACTTATAGGGCAGATATAGAGGAAGCAGAGCAGAGAGCGAGAGAGATCCTAATTATATGTAAATTGGAGAGTGCAGAGAGTACAGAACATAAAAGTGATATTTACCGACGTCATAAACAATATTTAAAGGCTCGACTCCTTTTTGGATGCATCTCCAAACAATAAAATCCACACCGGATTGCATCCGTATCTTTCATCTTACCATAAATACTTCCTCGGACCGCATTATAAATGCGCTCACATTTCATGCTTCTTGATTAGTCTATTTGGGTTTACTACCAGAAAATGGTCTTGTGCACATCATCCCTGACAGAATTTAGTGCCGCACACGTGAACTAAACCGTTGCCCCCACGTAATACCTCTAAATTTGCATGCCTTAAGCCCCCCCTCGCACTTAATTTAGAACTTGATGAATAAAGAGCGAAACGTATTTTTAGTTGTGCATTGCGATTTGTATCGTGCCATAATTTTCTGCAAGTTTAAAACTGTTTCTATACTTTATAACCGACATTCCTGCAGTTCCCATAAACATCTTCACATACTTTTTGCTCGTGATGCGAAGAAATCCAAATGAACTAATGAAAAACAGGCGCCAGTGTCTTCATATATTAATGATTTTCTCAGATACTATAATAAATAGAATGGATCCAAAAGATGCATATGAAAGTTGGTTATTTGGGGAATGCAACGTGCGCCTACTTATTGCTATGGTTTCATTTCCTGGCCTGTAAATTTTATATTGCTCTTGTTTCATCCATTTCACTGTAATATAAAAAAGTTGCATATTAATGCCAGTAAATTATATTTATGTATTCTAGAATACCAATACAATTCATACATAATTAATAAAAAGTATTAATTGGATTAGGATTAAATTGTTTACATTTGATAACTTATAGTAGATGTACTGAGTAACCCACAATGTCGGTAGTTAGCAAATTAGAAAGCTTATAGATTTGTATTTAATTTGCGTATTCTATGGTAATCGATTAATTTAAAAAAACTGAAGGTATTGCAGAAAATTGAAAAAAAAATGTTAAATAAATGGTTATATATGCTTTTTCGAACGTTCTAATTTCAATTTTTCAAATTTGAACGCGTATTACAGCAATATGGAGAAGAGCACAGAAATGTATCTATACTTGCTGGATTTCCCAAACATTCAGCTTTCATATGCATCTTTTCGATTCATTCTATTATTATAGTTTTCGAGAAAATCAATGAAATGTGAAAACACGCTTTTTCGAGCATTTTCTTAACTTTGAAATCGAATTACAGCCAAACGTCTTTATTATAGTCGAGTAAATACAATGAAATCTAATTTCACATTTTTCAACTTTGAACGCGTATTACAGCAATATGGATAAGAGCACAGGAATGTATCTATACTTGCTGGATTCCCCAAACATTCAGCTTCAATCATATATTGGATTCATT